CAGCCATTTCTTTCTCATTTCAAAGCTGGCTGCCTGTTAAAACCTAGGCAAGACTGTCTCTGGGACAGAGTCCTAGAAATTGATTCTTCAGAGGTTGAAACCCTCTGTTCAGTGATTGTCCCAGGCATTGTTGACCTGGATCTCAAGAGGCAGCTGAAATCTTTCTCTGATACCCTCGCCACCTTCACGAACTCTCACTGATCTTCCTTTCCTCACTACCTCCTGTTTAGGGCCTTTTTGTTGCCTTTAGGCTTCCCAGAATCTTCCAGTTAGGGGCTCTAATGAGAGCTGCCCCTTGCAACTCATTTGCAGGTGATGCAACACATTAACCAATCGCTTCTCAGATCACCTGCTCATTAAATCTCCATGGTGGGGAAGGGGGGTTGCTTCCACAAATTCTTCCTTTAATATCTTTACATCACAGAATCAACAATTTTGCCAACAAATTAACTTCACATTTATAGAAAAGGTGTTGCTTTCTTTTTTGAAAAATATGCTTATTTATACATAAAAATATGCTTTGGAAAATGTGATATAATCATGTTACCATTGTTCTCGAGTTCCTGAGTAGCAAAATTGATTTAGTTGTTTCACAATTTATTGAAAGGTCAAACTGAAATCAATAAATAAGACAACAGCCTTTTCTAATACCCTATAAGAATGTGAAGCTAACTAACATTGTTGTAATACCTGATGCGAAAGTGACTTTCACTTAACTTGGCAATAGTACTGGCTTTTCTTAAACTAAAACTTTTTGTTGTTGTTGCTGTGTATCGTCGAGTCAGAACAGACCCACAGTTGACCCTGCAGCGGGTTTTCAGAGGCAGTTAATCGCACAGGAGGAGATTGCCCATCCTTCTCCCGTGGAGCAGCTGGGGGATTCAAACTGTGTACCTCTAAAACTCTTTTAGATTCCATTTATAACCTCTGTTGTTACTATTTCCTCTTTGCCCTCAGCAATGTATGACTAAACACCTTTTGTTGGCTTTCTCTGTTTGCTCCTGAAATGTACAACTGGCAGCTAAGAGCCCTTTTTGTTGGTCCTTCTTTTTTTCACAGCAATTTTCCTTCAGAAGTTGAATGACATCTGCCCTGGACCTGTCAGCACTACAGGTGTGGCCGCTCTACTGTACCTGAGGCATCAGGATAAAGAGGAAGTGGCTATTTCTGCACTCAGTGTTCAACCCGTGAGCACTCAGAAAGGTTTCTGGCCTGACAATCCTGGAAGAAGAAGGGGGAAAAAAAGAAAATCCTTTTCTTCATAAATGAAATCTAGTTCATAAAAAACCTGGAATGATGGTTAATTCAAATACAAAAACTCATATACAAAAAACTCTACTTCTTCCTTCCAAACTACCTAGTTCATACAGTTGATTCTATCACACACTTTTCTGTACTATGATTATACTACTGGAATAGAATACTGATGAAATGCTTCTGTTAGAAAAAAAAAAAGTTGAATGACCTGACATACCATCTCACTCTGGTAGCAGTGACAAAGTTTAACAGGACAGCAAGTGATAAATGTCGAAGAGGAAGTGGTGAGACAGGAACTCTTAGACATTGTTGGTGGGATTGTAAAATGGTACAACCACTCTGGAAGGCAGTTTGGCATTTCCTCGAAAAGCTAAACATTGAAATCTTTATGACCCAATTATTTCACTGCTTGGAATATACCCTGAGAAAATAAGAACTGAGACACAAACAGACACTTGTACACCAATGTTCATAGCAGTGTTATTCACCATTGCAAGAACATGGAAATAGCCCAAATGTCCAACCACAATTGAATGGACTGAGGTATTATGGTACATTCACACAATGGAATACTATGCAGCATGCAGGAGCAATGATTTTGCAAATTACTACCTAATTTGGGAGGGACTGAAGAACATTATGCTAAGTGAACTAACTCAGTTCCATAAGGACAAATACTGTATAAGACCATTATTGTAGAACTTGTATGAGGATCCAAGAGGAGAAAAGTGGGAGCAGAGTGTTGAAGACTGGGGGGTAGGATGGGGTGGGGAGGTGTTTAACTATAGAGTCATCTGATTTGACGGGTGGAGGGAGGGATGGACAAAGAAAATGGGAAAGATCTGGTGTGAAAAACAATGTACACGAACTTTGTAAGTAAACCAGTATAAAATAAAAATTGCATTTAAAAAAGTTGAATGACAGTGGTAATGTAAATAATGGCCAGTTTCCCTTAATCAGGATAGTGTCGAGCTTCCCCTGACATATGGATTGTGCCAACTGTCTCTGGTCAACAATTCTGGGATGTGACCAATTACCAGTTCATTTGGATAAGAGAAAATATTTAAAAGTTCCTTACATTCAATCATCTCCTCTACTTAATCCTCCTGAGGTCTCATATACGAGGAGGCAAATTTGTGAAGTCCCTACCTCCTGTCTCCTATGTTTTTATTCTTAAATGCTATCAAGTCAGAACCCACAGACAGGTAACTCTGCAATAGGTTTTCAGAGGTTGTAAAATGCACAGGAAGAGACCACCCAAATTTCTCACTCAGCAACTGGAGAATCCAAACCATTTGCCTTTGGGTTGTAGCTCGACTTCTGGTAACCAGGCCACCAGAATTCCCTCTTGCCCCCTATATACGGGTATATAAGAAAACTGCTGTTCCGCTCTCCCAGTCCCTGAGATTTTCAGCCAGCAGGGTGGGTCGATCCGAGGTTTTGTGGCAGTGAAACGTTAGAAGAAAGACCTTTGATGTGCCTTGGAAACCCAGCTCAGACTTCCTCTGTGCACATGGGTCAGAATGCATTAGAATCCACTCCATAACAGCTGGTTTCCTTTTCGGTTTGTGCCATGGTTCCATTCTGAATCTAAACCCTCTTACCGTCTCTAGCCACCAAAACCTGCTAATGCTGTGTTGCTCCCGGGCAGCAGTTACAGGAGGATATAATCTAATAAGTAAATTTCTGTGAATTGGTTCCACTGGAAACCACTCATTGTCCTCTTTCCGCTGGGTTTTCAATTTTCCTGAGCACCAAGAATCATCTGTAGTGCTTGTTAAACGTGCATTATTACCCTGGGTTCTTCCCCAGGAGAAGCGCAGAATCTGACCCAGCAGTTTTGGGGTGAGATCCAGGAATTTGTAGTATTAATGCAACTCCCATGTTGTCCTTCTAATCACAGAAGGTGGGGAAATGCTACTCTCACCTACAGTGTTCGTTAGATATCTGTATACAACAGCTTGCATTAGACATCATGAAGCCAATGCAGAAAACAAGAAGCGCAAATACCTTTTCACTTCATGCATCATTTTGAGCATTGTGTTCACCAGTTATGGAAATAGAGGCCATATACGTCAGATATCAGGAAATCTACATTTTAAATCTGGCCCTGGAGGTCATTAGTTTTGTGAGCTTTGGCAAGTCGATGTGGATCAGCTTCCCCAGTACAGTCTGACTTCCTTATTTAGACCTCTCCTCACTTGAACCCAGAAATTTCACATTTAAGAACTTGTCCTGTATGATAACAAGGGAAGTAAGTAAGACTGTGCATCATTTTACTATTGATGAGGAAAACCTGGAGGCAGGCTTCTAGTTCCTGTCATATGAAAAAAATCAAATAAATTATGATTTCTCTGACCGTACAAAATATTCATGATGTTGTAAAGTTGTAAAAACATGTTACAGAACAGTATTTACGTGGATGCCAGTTGTTGTCACTGCTGTTATTTTTTTTAAAGTCTATGTGTGTTGTTTGCAGAAAATGTCTGTGAAATTACCTAAATATTGCCAATGGCAAGATAATAAGCAACTTTTACTGCTTCCTATATCTTATCATTGTGTACTATGGAGTCAGAACCGACCCATAGCTGACCCTGCGGTAGGTTTTCAGAGGTAGTTAATCTCACGAGAGCAACTGGGGGATACGAACCAGGTGCCTTTGGGATTGCAGCGCAGCTTCTTGCCACTAGGCCACCAGAGTTCCCTATATTGTCTTTCATAATGGTCTTCATCTTTCTTTTAGAATAAGCTCAGTCAATTGCCTTTGAGTTCACTCTGCCTCAAAGTGTGTTAGATTAGAACTATATTCCGTAAGGTTTTCAATGGCAATTTTTCCAAAATAAATCATCAGGCCTTTTTTTACAAGATGCCTCTTATGAACTCAAACCACTGACATTTTTTATGAATAGCCAAACATCTTAATGGTTTGGCTTATCACAGAACTCCATAGTAAGCTTACTGAAGCACATTTCCCAGGTAACTTGGTTTCCATAACCAAGAGATTTCCTGGGCACCTAAAAGGAAAGATTTAGTAATCTGAACAACAAATGTTTTTCTTCAGTAATGCCTTTCTTTTACTCTCAATGTCGTTGCTGTTGTTATCAGGTGCCATCAAGTTGACACACTCAGAACTATCCTGTCAACAATGCATATGAACTTTATTCTATGTCATTCATTCCTTATCATCTCTGACATACTAGATCCCATTGTTGCAATCACTGTGTCAGTCCATTTCATTTCCTCTCCAAATATTTTGTGCAAAAGACCTTGATTCCTACCCCTGCCCCCCACCCAGTGAGAGAAAAAAAAATCCATTTTATACATCTGAAGTCCTTGAGGGAATTCTGGTTTCTGGCCTGACCCACAGAGCAGCTGAGAGAATGCTCAAAGAGTCAGTATCCCATAAAGGGCTTTTCTCAGACTTTCTAGAAAATCTAAAGCTCCCCCCACCTCAGCTGGGAGGGCTGGAAGAGTCACAGGTGCACCCAACTGGGACAGAGTGGGCTTCGGCCCATTCTTCCTACTATAAAAGCGCAGAGCAGCCCACCCATCTTTACCGTGTTGACTTGGTACTTCCTCTGTCATGGCGTGTGGGTGGAGGGTTGATCCCAGACGTCACCCAAGCTGGCTCTGTATAGACCTGAGGTGAGTAATTGTGAGCAAAGAGGAAGGGGAAGTTGTGACTTTACCTACCTGCACTCATGTTTCCTTATCGGTCTGTCCCACTCCCTTCCAGAGCCTACATGTTATTTTTTCTGGTCTTCACCCTTCTGTCATCGGTGAGCGCTGCTGTTAACGTTTCTCAGTTGGCAAATTTAACTTTCCCAGGTACGTCTTTTGGGTGAGGGAAGTACTCTTAGTATGAAGAACAGAACGTGGCTGGGGGTGCCTCGTTGGGCAGGAAACATACACCTGAATCAGGCAATCTCCATTCACATTCTTCTTCACCTCAGTCAGGTCTTTCATTTGTTCTACCAGCTAAATGAAAATGTTTGTATAACAGATCTATACTGCTTTCTGTACCCTTAGTGCTTCAAGCTGAGAACAGCAAGCATTTCCCACATCAACCCCTAACCAATTAAAAAAAACAAGTGACAAAATCACAGCAGTAAGAAATGGGAAGCTTTCACAAACATGTTAGTTGAGCCAGAGATGGTACAGTAGAATTCAGGTGGCAGAAATACATTCTTGAATTTACTCTGGATTTTCAAGTTCTTCGGGCCTACAGTTCCCACTCTTTTAAGTTCCCATCAAGCTCTGACAAGCTGGCTCTTGTCAACATAAATCCAGACTCGCTGGAGAGTCTTGGGCACTAACTTGAGACTTTCCTCACAGGCCTTGTTGTGTTGTATTGTAGCTGTCTGTTCCAATTAGCGAGCACTCAAAGTAAACGACGTTTTTACCTCTCCCAACTAGCATTCTTTCCCAATCTGAGGGACAGAAGGGGTGTCTGAATGCACTGTGGTAAGAAATAAGCTCTTTGTAGCGCAAGGAGGCCCCAAGTGTTTTCTTTGTTCTCCAGGAACTGCCTCTTGCAATGAGGATGGAATGATAGTGAAGTTTCCCAAAGGCCTCAACACGAAGAAATGGGATGCATCTGTAGTAGGTACGTGATGGCTATTACTTAATTTCAGGCTCGTTTAGTAGGAAGCCTTTAACTCTGAGTCAGGACCTTTTGTTAGGTGAGCAAAATATCAACTGTGTGGAGCATTTTTACATCCAATTTCCATACCACCATTCTGTGATTTGCATTATCCCACATGGAGTGGAAGAGCTGATTTTTTTTTTTTTTTCCCTTGACACTCCTCTCAGGAGTCCGTTGGGAGTCATCCCAGCTGCTCTCAAAGCTCGTCTTCGTTTCTAGTCAGATCAGTAAAAAATGGAGATATCGAATTGCCCTTCTTTGGCTTGGCAGTTGTGGCTATAGTTTTGGCTGGCTCTGTCACTGAGTTTTGTCTCAAATCTTCTCAGCCACCACTTAACTAAACCTTCTTTGGCTTCTTTAGATTCCCTTGGTCTTCAAATACCAAACTGCACTGATGTTATGAAAGCAGAAAATCTCACCTTGAGGGTCCCGTATGACAACTGTACCAGGAAAGTGGTAAGTAATTGCTTTAGAAATAATTAGGGAAGCAATATTGTTGTGTACTATTACGTAGAAACCAACCCATAGCTGACGCTCCAGTGGGTTATGGGAGGACATAGCCCATCCTTCTCCTACAGAGAAGCTGGTGACCTCAAACTATGTGATTTTGAGATTGTAGCACAGCTTACTGCCACTGTGCTACCAGAGCTCCACTAGGGAAGCAATGTAACCTGGCAATTATGGATACAGTCTTATAAATGTCTTAATGATTCGCAACTGGAAGCAATTTTCACCTGCCTAGGAGATAACTTGAAATTGTCTAGAGACACACCTTAAATTATCACAGCTTCAGGAATTTCTATTGTCATTTAGTGAGTAGCAATCACAGCTGTTTCCTGAAAATTCTACAAAGCATCGGACACACTTAAAACAAGATTGAGGCCAAAAAATGTCAATATTGCTTAGGTTACAATCTTGGAGAAAATTAGGTTGACTTTAAGCCAAGTTCTGCCATGTAATAGTATAATCTTATAAGCCTCTATTTATCCCTCTAAAAGAGAATGTCGCCTCCATAGGTGACTGGGGATCATGATAGAATGCCAGCAGAGGGCTTAGCACAGCGCCTGAAGAAAACTGACTAAACACTACCGACTTGTAATCTACAACATGAAATAAAAAGCTAGGTTGGGTTTGGAAAAATAGATAAGTGTTCAATTAAAAAAAAAAAAACAGGGGTTGGAAGACAATCCACAGGTGAGTAGTAGGATTTTCTCCATTGCCAAGAAATGTTCTTAATCAACCGAGATTACAAGCAATAAGAATGGCCTAAGACAGAAGTAACCCAGCTTTAGCCTCCAAAAGTTTCACTGGGGAACTTGCAAAGTACAAGCTAAGTAGGTTTGAAGAAGTAGGTCCTAAGGATTGACATGGCCACGTCATACATGTGGGTCTGCAAGCAATCTACAGTCTAAACATCGGACTTTCCCAGACCCTGGACTATGAAGGATTCTAAAAATGCTGAGTCATCTGGTCCTTGAGACCTCCCCCCCACCTGTGAGTGTGCTGTGAAGTCGCCATGTGGTCTTGTGACCATTGACTCACCTTCTTCCTTTGAAAGGACTTTCCCAGCTTTGGGGAGCTTAGAGTTGTATTATTTTAGATAACACGAACCAAACCCATTGCCATTGGATCAATGCAACCTAAGTTACCCTTATAGGACAGTAAAACTTCCCCATAAGGTTTCAAAGGGTGGTCTAGTGGCAAGAAGCTGTGTTGCAATCCCAAAGGCATGTGGTTCAAGGCCACCAGCTACTCCACAGGAGGATGGGCTATTACCATAGGATTAATTACCCCTGAAAATCCTCCAGAGGGTCAGCTGTGGTTGGTTGCAGCTCTGCAGTACATAACGAAGTTCACCACAGAAACAAGAAGCCCACATTTTTCTCCAGCAGAGTAAGCTGGTGGATTTAAACCAACCACTTAACCACCCAGCCACTAGACTCTTTTGTGTCAAACCAGGACTCTCTAAATGCCCGATTCAGCCCACAGCCAATTTGCCATGGTCCCCAAACTGAGGCTGGTTTTCACTAAAACTAATCTCACTACTTTAACTAAAACTACAAGCAGCACATGGCCCACAAAGTATAAGATAGTTACTATCTTAACTCTTCAGAGAAGACTGGGCAACCCTCACTTGAGACTGAGCTCTTTGAAGACGAGGGTAATATCAAAGATGTCTCAACCTGGTTAATGCTCAGTGAGTTTAGAAGGTTTGAAGTAACCAAGTTAGAACTCGGGTACCCAGACATAGGGTAGATGGAAGGGAAAAACAAAAACTGAACTCTGATCCCTGCTACTCAAGGAGAACTGTTCTCACCGGCAATGAGTTCTTAGCAGTGTATCCAAGGGGCATCTAATCAACTACAATGCATAGAAACCCTATGCATAACAGATGTGAACTGTATCCTTTCCTGTATCCCAATCCCTGATAGGCTCCAGCTCATTGTGACAGTCACTGGTCCTTTCTCTGGCCTTGTCTTTCTCATCCTGATGCCCTTTTTGAAAAGACTGACCATATGCTCAAAACGTAAGATGAGATCTCACCATCCTTGCCTCAAAGGAGCACTCTAGTTATATTTCCTCCAGGACAGACAGTCCATGGGATATTCCATACTCTCCTCCAACTCTGTTCAAAAGCAGCCATTCTGTTACCGTGATTATCTGACTTTCAAATGCATACGAAGCAATTGAAAATACATAGCTCGGACGAGACACAACCCATATCCCCACTCTTGAGAACTTTGGAAAGATCCTTGACAGCAAATTTCACCAATGCTATGCTTTCTATTTGACTGCTGTTAATTATGAGTGTTGATTGTGGATCCAGGTAAAATGAAAACGGGACAATTGCCAACTTTTCTCCATTTATCATGGTAGGCAGCATGGTGGTGTTCGCCATGATGTGTGAATTCTCAGATGTGAGGCTTCTCATTTTCTGGATATTAAGATGTAATCTAAACTGAAGGCTGTGGTCTTTGATCTTCTGTAGCAAGTGTTTCAACTCTTCACTTTCTACAAATATGGTGGTGGCATCTGAATGACAGATTATTAATGACCCTTACTCTAATTTTGATGCCATGTTTTTCTTTTTTTTTGATGCCATGTTTTTCATATCATCCAGTTTCTTTAATGACTTGCTGAACACAGATTGAATAGTTATGGAGAATGGATATGGTCCGGACACACTGTTCCTGATTTTTAAATCATAGTGTTCTCCTGTTGTATTTTGACAACAGCTTCTTGGCTTAAGTATAGATTTTGTATGGGCCTAATTAAGTGGTCTGGGATTTACATTCTTCATGTTACCCATAATTTAGTATGATCCACACAGTCAAATGCCTTGGCATAGTCAAGAAAAGACAAACACCTTTCTGGCATTCTCCTGGTTTCAACCAAGATCCATCTGACACAGACTCTGACTCTACTTTGAGTTTCTGGCAGGTCTTTATTGACATACTGTTCCAATAATTTTAAAAATAATCCCCAAGATACTACATATGATATTGGATTATATTCTATAATTTCCACATTCTGGATCACATATTTTTAAGTGGTAACAAATATCAATCTCTTCTGGTAGCTGTCTTTCAAATTATTTGACATAGACTAATGAGTACATCCAGGACTGCATCTATTTGTTGAAATGTCTTAATAGATAACCTAAAAACTCCTGGGGCTTCATTTTTGCCAATGCCTACAGGGTAGCCTGGATTTTATTTTTCCTTTTAATACAATTGGTTCCTGATCATATGTTCCTTCCTGAAATGGTTCAGTGTTGATCATTTCTTCTTGGTATAGTGATTCTGTATATTCCATCTTTTGATGCCTCTTGCATTCAAGATTTTCCCATAGTATCCTTAAGTATTGTAACTCCAGGCTTGAATTTGTTCTTCTGTTCTTTCTGCTTGAGAAAGGCTGAGTATGTTCTTTTCTCTTGAGTCCCTAACTCCAACTCCTTGTACACTTAATTATAATATTTTGCTTGATCATCTTAGCTGCCTTTTGAAAACTTCTGTTCAATTCACTTTGTCATTTCATCCCCTTGTTTGTCTTCTCTTCATTCCAGTACAAGTTTGAGTATCTTCTAACATCCATTTTGGTCTTTTCTATCTCCCCTGTCTTTGTAATGACCTCTGTTTTCTTCAGGAATGATAACCTTCATCTTACTACTAGTCTTGCCATTACTGTCCAGTGCATCAAATCTATTCTTGAGATGGGTTCTAAGTTCCAGTGAGACTCAAGGTTGTTTTTTGTTCTCAGACTTCATTTTCTCTAGCTTCAATTTGAACTTGCACATGAGTCAGTCAGCACCTGGCCTTGTTTTAACCACTGACACTGTTTCTCCACTTTTCACACAGATGTAGTCATTCTATTTCCTATATAAACTATCAGACGAGTTCAACATAGAGTTGGCATTGTTTTTTAAAAGTACTTGCAATTAATTTCCCATTCGTACAAAATTCTATCAATAAATCTCCAGTCTCATTTCTGTCTCGAAGGCCACCTTTTCCAACTACCAGACCTTCGTCTCCAATTTTTACACATAATCACCAATTATGCAAGAATCTCTGTTGCATGTTCAATAAATTTCAGATTGCAAAAGTTAGTAGCACTCAATTTCTTCTTTGGTTTTCTTGGTTGGTGTGTATATTTGAATAATAGTTGTATTATCTTAGATATGCAAGGATAGTATCCCATTGTCCTTCAGGGTAGGTCTAGAAATGTTCTTTTCGACTATGAGTGCAATACCATTCAATGTGTCATTTTCAGAATTATAAATAAGGTGATTGTGTGACTCCAAGTGGCTAGTCTCAGTCTGCCTCAGCTCACTAATGCCCATGATGAAATCTTTAAAAAGAGTTCTATTTCATTTTTCTACAACTTCCAATTTCCCTAGATTCGTACTTGATACATTCCATGTTCCAATTGCTAATGGATGTTTATAGCAGTTTCTCCCTATTTTTTTCCTAAAAGGGCTCAAACACTCATGGTCAAGTTACAACCAACTCACAGTTGTCTCTTTAGTGGGTTTTCAGAGGCTACCATAGGGAGAGTAGCCGTCTCCCTCCTGTGGAGGTGTTGGTGGATTTGAACCATCTACCTTTGGGCTGGTAGCACAACTCCCTGCAGACTAGACCACTGCGGCTGTCTTTTAAGAGAGCTAGTTAAATATTTTGGTGTATGAAATGTCTTTGAGGACTTATAACTTTGAGGGTTTGGGGGTCAGCTAATATTCTGGAATTCTTTTCTCCCTTAAAGTTCTGGCATTGACTCAATTCTCATTACTCCATCTGTACACAGGATCAAAAATACCAGACTACCATCAGACTTGTGAACAAAAATAATGCTACACACCAAGAGGTTTATCAGGTCAGCTGTTGGGCAGAAGAGGCCTCATCTAGGTGGTTTACAGGAGCGACAGACTGCACCAAGAAGTTGATGTCTGTGAGTGAAGCAGGCTGACTGCTCATATTACTATGGGGAAGGGGTCTTCAGATGTCCTAGGTGAAGATAATTTTAATCTTTAAATTATAATCGTTTTGTAATGTAATGGTGTTTACATTGTAACCTGGACTTGGGAATTTTAAGCTTGCATTCACAACTTAGTTGATGTGTGACTTTTCATTGCTAGACCATGCTGAAGTGCTATTTAAAAATCGTGGGAACAATGCTTAGCTTGTTGAGCAACTTTAAAAAAATTAAGACGCATAATCTTCTTAGGATATTGTTTGCCAACAGGAAAGATTCTGTGGATGGTGTCAATTTTATCAGTGTCCTAACAAACTGAATACCTATTAATTGCTCTATTAAAAACAATCAACAGCTCCATGTTATACAGCAGAACTTTTCAACAGGATTTCCTAAACTGTTCTCTGCAGGAACAAATCACTAAGCCATTGGATTCCTGTTCTTTTATTCAGTATCTGAGCACTTAAAGATTGCACTACCAGAAATCTTTTTTCATGTGCTAGATGATACAGCAAATGTATAACACAGTCCAATTATACCTTCATGGAACTTAATGTCTAAAACGAGTAATACTTACAATGTATAACTAAACATTAACACTCACATTCGATCTTAATATTGATGGAAATGAATGGCTTTAGCATGGCATCTTATTTCTTTAGAAATGTGTAAGGATACAGTGTGCCAATCAATTAACACGTGAAAGGGAACTTAGATTCTGCCACTCTATTTTGTTCTCAAAAGCGCCAAGCAGTGAAATGACTTGCTTCTGGGAATAAGATTGAAACAGTTAACAACTTGATATTTGAATTCTTGGACCCACAGTCAACATCTTTTGTACCAGCAGTCAGGAGATCAGGAGATGTAGGGAAATGTCTGCCATTGGGACCTCCACAAACTGAGTTTTCAATCACCTGTGCATCTGAGAGCTGACCAAAGACTAAAGACAAGAATTTATGCCTCTGAGTTGTGGTGTTAAAGTACTAATTGTCCTATGGACTGCCTGAAGAACAAAATGTCCTGGAGAATGTGCATACAGAGTGCTCCTTAGATAAGAAAGTTCTTCTCAGATACTTTGGACATGTTGCTAGGAAGTACTATGCTCTGGAAAAGGCTTATCAAGTGTGAAAAAGTAGAGGATTGGCAAAAGAGGAAGGCCTCCAGCCGGGTAGAGGATCTACTGCAATGGACCTAAGTGTGTGAGAAACTGTGAAGATGGCATAGGATAGAATAGAGTTCAGATCTGTTGATGGGGTTGCTATGGGCTGTACTCAACTCACTGGTACCTAATTTAATGAGTATAGCACGCTGCTCCTTGGAGGCAAGATTCTGAAGCTCTGTGCAACATATTAGGACATGTTGCAAGGAGGTACCAGTCCTTGGAGAGGGATGATATCATGCTTGGGAAAGTGGAGTGATAATGCAAGAGGGGAAGACCCTCGATAAGAGGGATTGACTCTGGGGTAATAAGGCTGGGTGAGTAAGAGATGAGGTTGGCACAGATAGAGCAGGGTTTAGAGCTGTTAACAAGAGCAAGCAACTCGATGTCACTTAATAATAATATAACTGGAATTAGTATTTTCTGATTAGACATATTGATAAAAACTGCACAGCAACTACTTTGGTCTTTGACATGCTGACAAGTGGTATAGCCTAAGAAATTTTCTCCTCCAAATCAAAACCTCATATGACTTTTCTTTTTCCAGTTTACCTTCTCGACTAACTTCCCTGGTTTCCACGACAGTGTCATGGTATGGAATGAGCTTTTAAGTTTTAATACATCTTAGTAACATTGAATTAAAAACTTCCATTCTACATTGAAAGGGGAGCTTGCATGCTTTCATCCTGATAAAAAAATAGACTGCATGGGCTCATGTAACAGTCTCGGGTTCAAGTGAGCACAAGCTGTCTCAATGAAGATTTTTTACTACAGATAGATTCTCTGCGGGGATGGATTCTTAAGGTTGGTGATCCAGTCCGAATTCTGACTCTTGTCGAAGCCTTACAACAAGGATATACTATCCTGGTTGATAAAGGCAAGCTCATCCTGCAAGCATCATTCAACGCCACTGGAGTGACTCACTATAAGGTAGGTGTGCAAATATTTCTGTATCACCATCAACAATGAAATCATGAACAACTTCAACCTTTTCTCCATTTATGATGTTGCCTACTGGACCAGTGGTGAGGATCCCCGCCCCGCCCCTTGGTGAGATGTAATCAATACAGTGAATAGAGATAGAGGTTACAGCCCTGACATATTTCTCCTCATCTTAAATCCTATAATGTTCCCTTGTCCTGTTTGGACTACAGCTTCTTAATACATAAGTTTCACATTAGCACAGTAGGTTGTTCTGGGATTCACATTCTTCTTAATGTTAAAATCTGTTATGATCCAAACAGTTAAACACGTCTCATATAATAAAACACAAGTGAACATCTTACAGCAGTAAGATCCATCTGACATGAGCAACACTATTCCTTGTGTTAAGGCCTATTCTGAATCCGGTTTGAATTTCTTGAATTTCTGGCAGTTCCCTGTTGATGGAGTGTTCTAACCATCTTAAAATCTTCAAGATTTTACCTGCATATGATTCTGACTAGATGACTGTTTTTGACCTGCATATATTAATGACATGGTTCATTTTGTTCCATATTGTGTTGGATCACCTCTTTTGGAATGGGAATAAATAGGGAACTCTTACAGTTGACCAAGTAACTGTCTGCCAAATTTCTTGGACTAGACTAGTGAGCACATCCAGGGCTGCATCTGTTTGGTGATAAACATCCATAAATGTTCTATCAATTTTGGGGGCCATATTTTTTTGCCAATGCTTTCAATGCTGCCAGAACCTTTTCTTTCATTACCATTGGTTCTTGTCATATGCCACTTCAAAAAACCTTCGTGCATCTTAGTCTTGTTTATAAACTATTTTTAAAATGGTTTGCAAAGTTCATATACATTATTTAACACTTCATTAGCATTGTGTTTCATTCAGTCTTATCCATTGTTTTCTAACATTAATCACCATTGGACTATGCCCACTATTACCCTGTCTCTTCAGGTCCTCACCAGATCTTTCCCATATCCTTTACCCCTTCTCATATAACTGCTTAAAATGTCTCGGTGTAGAACAATTCTTTTTGATACAGTCACTATGTATTCCTTTCAGCTTGTTTTGGTGCTTCCTGCATCATCCACGATTTTGCCCATACAATCCTTGAGTATTACAGATCATGGCTTTAATTTGTTCTGCAGTTCCTTCAGCTTTGGAAATGTTGAGCATCCCTTCCCCTTCTGGTTTTCTAACTCAAGCTCTTTGCATATTTGTTTTTGCTTCTCGAGCTTCCCTCTGAATCTGTTTCTCTTCATCACTTCTTCCCTTTGCTTTAATCTCTTTATGTTCTAATGCAAGTTTCAGTCTCTTCTGATACCCATTTTGAGTCTTTTCTTTCTCCCCCATCTTTGTAATTGTCTTCTGCTTTCTTCATGGATGTTATCTTTGATGCCATCTTACAACTCATCTCCAATCATTAGCATTTATTGTATCAAAATTGAGATTTTTTAAAAAATTCAGATGGAATAAAGTCCTATTTTCTCATGGACTTGTTTTCTTCAACTTACATTAGAACTTGCACTTGAGTCAGCCCTTGGCTTTGTTTTGACTTCTGTTATTGAGCTTCTCCGTTGAGTCTTTCCACAGATAGTCAATCTTTTTCCTGTGTAGTTGAGCAAGTGAGGTCCATGTATACACCTGATGGTCAGGTTTTTAAAGGTATTTGAAATTAATAAGTCATCATGCAAAATTCTATCTCTAGCCTCCAACTTATAGCCTTTTTTTATTCAAACTTCTGAAGAATCAGCTCTAGGTAACACAGACACATCAAACTTGCAGCTTTTTATAAAGCTTTTTATAACTATTACATCCAATACTTGCAATAATTAGACACCTTGTTGAGGGCTGATGCCTACAGTGAAGCCATGCCTTTTTTTTTTTCTTAACATAAACTCAGCAGGCCATTGAGTTCCAACTAGTAATCAGCCACACGGTTTTGCTTTTAGGAGTTTACTCAAAATTAAATTTAAAATTGAACAGTAGTACTTAAAATTACTACTACTGTCCACAGCATCAACGACAACTTGTACCAACTCTTGCGGGGCCCTGCACTACCCTCAGTCTCTGCCACGCTCAAATGTATTGTTGGAATCCATGTGCCAATTTGTCTTGTGAGTCTTTCTTTCCATCTTTGAAAAACCATGTTTTTCCAAGCATGACATTTCTAAGAACTTGGGCCTCCTGATGACATGCCTGAAGCATGAGATGAAGTCTTACCATCTTTGCCTCTTAAGAGCATTCAAAATTATCTAGAAAAGAGCTATTTACTTGTTTACAAATCATACTGGCTTTTAACTCAATCACTCATGACATTGTGCTTTATTACATTAAAATTCACTGAATTACAATGTCTAACCACTTAAGGAATATTGCCTTTCCCTCTACCCAATGTATCTACTGAGTTTTTGCTCTCATCCCTGAAAAACCCTTTAAGATTGCTTTTGTCTGTGCAAACCATTTTCCTACCTCTTTATATTAGTGATCTGAAAACATAATTGTCCTTCTAGAACTGACTGTGTCGCTCAGTATAATTTGTTCCTCCTTCATTCAGGTTGCACAGTATTTCACAAATTTTGGTTTGGGTTTAGCCAGTTTCTTAACCATTTGTCTGTTGGACACTTGGATTCTTTCCAACTTTGCCAGTTTAAATGCTGCAATTGATATAGGTATGAGTATGTCAGTTTGTGATGCAGTTTGCATATCTTTAGAATAAATGCCTAGTTGTAGAATTACTGGGTCAAATATTCCACCTTACACCTTTTAACGAACTGCCAAACTTTCTCATAGTAGCTTCACCATTTTGCACCCTCACTAGCAATGTGAGTTCCAGTCTCTGCATAACATCATCCACATTGATTTTTGTCTCACTGAACTTATAGTTGGACTGTAACGACCTTATTTAGATCGATCTTGTAGCTTTGCCAATCTAATAGCAAATGGAAGAAGTTGTACTTCCAACCCAAAGGCATACACGTAAAATCCACCAGCTGCTCTATGGAAGAAAGGTAGGCTGCAAATAGCATGGGTGGAGTTTGACTCTGAAAGCCTGCTGGGCAGTGAGCTATGAGTTGGTTACAATACAAGATTACATAACAGCTAATGACAGAAGTAAAGCAACCTCTTGTATGATTTAGTCTCAGACCCTAATGGAGACTGATCTATAAATCCGTTCCAACAGAATGGCAATCAGAGAATAACTACCTCAAGCCTTCTTCATGTGTGTCCTGATAATCCTTGAATTATCTTTGAACATTGTCTTTGTCTTTTTTTTAAAAAAAAAAAAACACTGAGTTTTTATTGAAGGGTTGTTTCTTCTATAAGTTTTAGAAATGAGTCCCTTGTAAGATACCATTGTCAAGTGTTCTTTCCAATCTTCAAGTGTTCTTCCTCATATGGAGAAGCCTTATGTATACCAGGATTTTTAATTTTTAGGACATAGTTGTTTAGTTTATTCTCAGCTGCCTGCATTTTTTTTTGTGATCTGTTATGTGCCGTCAAGTCGCCTGCGACTCATAGTGACCCTATGTACAACAGCCCTAAACTCTGCTCTGTCCTGTGCCAATCGCACTGTCTCTGACACTCCCATTCCAATTATCCCAGTCACTGAATCAATCCACCTCATAGAGGGCCTTCCTCTCCTGCGCTGTCCCTCCACCCTCCCAAGCATGATGTCCCTCTCCAGGGACCTGTCCCTCCTCACAACATGTCCAAAGTATGTTAGACGGAGCCTCAGAATCTTTGCCTCCAAGGAGCCACCCGGTTTAACCCTCTCCAGGACAAATCTGTTTTCCTAGCAGTCCATGGTATTCTCAATACTCTTCTCCAGCACCACAGCTCAAAGGCATCAATTCTCCTTCTATCCTCCCTGGTCACCGTCCAGCTCTCTGATGCATAACAAGTGACTGCAAAGACCATAGCCTGTATCAGACACACCTTAGTCTCCAGAGAGACACCATGGCTCTTCAGTACTTTGGAGAGGTCCCTAACAGCAGACTTTCCCATGGCAATGCACCTTTTAATTTCCTGGCTGCTGGTGCCAAGACTGTTGACTATGGAGCCAAGCAAACTACAGCTGTGTACAATCTCAATCTCTTCACCATCCATCCAGTGGTGAGAATCTTTGTCTTCTTGACATTGATCCTCAATCCATATTGTAGGCTGCAGCCCTTGACACTCTGCAGCAGGCGCTTCAGGTCTTCTTCAGCTTCAGCAAGCAGGGTTGTGTCATCCGCATAATGCAGATTGTTGATAAATCGTCCACCATTCTTGACCCCACATTTCTCCTCATAGAGCCCAGCCTCCCGGATAACCTGTTCTGCATATAGGTTGAAAAGGTATGGAGATAGGATGCATCCCTAGCGTACGCCCTTCCCAATTTTGAACCATGTAGTGTTCCCTTGCTCTGTTCTGATGACTGCCTCCTGGTCCAAGTATGTTTCACATTAGAACGATCAAGTGTTCTGGGATTCATTCCCATTCTTAGAGTCAGCGATAGTTTGTTATGATCTACACAGTGATCTATTCATGGTATTTTAGGGCAAGAATTTCCTTGGCTTAGCTAATTTTCTGCTTGGGTCCTTGACTTGTCTTGTTCATGTGGCAAAAGGTAATGATTTTGTTTTTCTTTTTTGCAAATTGATATCCAATCCTAACATCATTAATGGGGTCCATTCCTCTACTCAGTGGATTTCATCTGTTAAATCCATCCAGCTATGGACAGTTGATGTATTTCTGGATTCTTTTATTCCATTGCTCTTAGGTGTTATGTACCTTTACAATGTTCTGAGTATTGTGGTCATGTAGTAAACTTTGACATTGGGGAAGTATTAACTCTCTAGTTTTTCCTCAGTGTTCTGCTTATCTGAGTATTTGCTTTCCATATAAAGTTGATTACTTCCTATTAAGAATGATGAAATTGGGACTGAGATCATATGTAGCTCTTAAGTCCTTCACTTCGTGTTCATTGGTAAATCACCTTGGTGGTGGAGTGTAAGTCATTGGACTGCTGATCAAATATCAGGTCAAATTCACCAGCTCTTCTGAAAGATGGTCAGTCTCCTTAAGATGTATATCGTCAGAACTCAATAGAGGGTCGCTATGTGTTGGAACTTGCACAATGGCACTGGATGGATCCTCTAATGCACATGATAGAGGAGTGAATGCAGCTCTGCTAGATCTTCATATACAACAAGCAAAGGGGGAATCTGTCTCGGGTTAGCTGGCAAAGGAGCAGGTGTGTTCTCTTCAGTGGATGAATCTGTGGGAAGTGCATGTGTGGCTGGGCAGTATGGATACTGTTGTCTCTTGCCAGGTGGGAACAAAATAGTCAAAAGACCGAGACAGGTCTAGACTGCAAAGGAAAAAAATTAGAAGGGATATAAGAAATAGCAATGGAGGTGGGCACCTAAGGGAGCGGTACTTGGATGCTCTAGCCGCTGCTGAGGCTGGTGGAGGCAAGATGACTGGTCTGAGATGGGGTCCAGTAGATGTGTACAAGGATGATGGTGAACACATGGGTCCCCCCACAATGAGAGTGATGTGCCCATTGACACATCTATATATATCTTCTCGGTCTCTATCAGACCAGGAGAGAAGTTGTAGGCAGGGTGCTAGTTTAGTTTACAGTACACTACCCTGGCCCTAGTAAGAGTGTGTACTTCCAGTTGTGAGGTTGATGTGCCCTTGGTACTAGATCCACAGGAGGTGTCCTTCCGAGGGCAGTTGCTGCCAATTGGGTACAGTACCTGGAGCTAACTCCAAGAGATGGAGACTTGGCCACTGTAAGCTTGATGGGGATGTGCTTCCTGCATTGAATCTATAGGGCATCCTACTATGTTCTTGACCACTTCCTGCACTGGCAGGACAGGAATATTATCCAGATGAAGCTTCTTCCATTCTTAGGATGGCTACAGGCTAGACCACCTCCTTGGTGGTAGAACACACCACAGGGCTGGGCATCACAGCACAAGTATCTGAATATGGAACAGCAGGCCCTTGGAGCCACATCCACAATGGTGCACACCTGGCCTCACATGGATCCAGGCACACAAGCATGAATGAGCACCACGAGTCACCTGGTGAATAGGCACCAAAGAATCTCTCCTTAGTTCCTGGAGGGCATAGAAAACAATCTATGAACTTTGAGAAATGTCGATACTTGTACAGGGGCTTCAGGCCTTTTGTTCATAGGCTCACTATGAGTCGTGCTCGACTAGAAGGCAATCAACAACATAGGAAACAAAGGGGGAGATTGAAACTTGCCAACATGGCATAAACTGCTGGTGTAGACGTTGTTGTATTTCTGGGAACCAGTGGTGATCAGAGAGCTCCTTACAAAGGTTGAAAACAGCTGTGTTGTCAGATCTGTTGAGTTCAGTGTTCTTCTCTCTCCAGATGTGTTTGCATTCTGTCGTATTTTTCAGTCTGTTCTTCAAATACTTTCTTTAAAGTTAAGAACTCCAAGATTATCATGTATCTTTTATCTTCATTTTCTGGGGCCTTTGTTTTAGGGGGCCTGGATTATTCATGTAGTAGGCCATCTTGCTGAAAGTCCCAACTGTAGTATTTTCCCCACTTTGTTATGTGCTGTCGAGTCTCTTGCGATTCAGCAACTCTATGTACAACAGCCCTGAAACCTGCTCTATCCTATGCCAACTTTACTGTCTTCAACACACCTACCCTCATAACCCCAGTCACTGTATCAGTCAATCTCATCAAGGGTCTCCCTCTTTCTCTATCCCTCCACGCTTCCAAGTATGCTCTCCCTCTCCAAGGACTGCTCCCTCCTTGCAACATTTCCAAAGTGTGTCAGAAAAAGCCTCAGAATCCTTGCCTCCAAGGAGCAGCCTGGCTTCACCCTCTCTAGGTCGAACCTGTTTATTCTCCTGACAGTCCATTCAATACTCCAACACCACAGCTCAAAGGCATCAGTTCTATCATCCCTATTCATTGTCTAGCTCTCTGATGCATAGCAAGCAATTGCAAACACTATGGCTTGGATCAGGTGCACTTTAGTCTCCAGAGTGACATCACTGCTCTTCAGTACCCTTGAGAGGTCTCTGACAGCTGACTTTCCCAATGCAATTCATCTCTTGGTTTCCAGGATGCTGATACCAAGAGTGTTGATTGAGATTGTGGAGCCAAACAATCTCTTGATGTTGAGCTTCAATCCATATCAAAGGCTGCAGTCCTTGACTTTTTCTGCAGCAAGTGCTTCAGGTCCTCAGTTTCAGCGAGCAGGGTTGTGTCATCTGCATAACGCAGGTTGTTGATTCTTCCACCAATCCTGATGCCACATTCTTCCTCATACAGCCCAGCCTCCCAGATCTGTTCTGCATACTGATTAAAAAGGTATGGAGACAGACTACATCTCTGGCGTATACTCTTCCCAACTTTGAACCATTCAGTGTCTCCTCCTTTCGCTGTTCTGACGACTACCTCCTGGTCCAACTATAGGTTGCATATAAGTACAATCAAGTGTTCTGAGACATAACCACATAGAATATAGGAAATATTATATATATATATATATATATATATATATAATTGTATTATAATTATGATATAATATAATAACTAAATCTATTATAATTATTATAATCAACATCATAATATTTCTATAAGTACATATAAAAATGTGTGTATTGTTGATTGCCTTCGAGTCGAGCACAACTCATAGTGACCCTCCAAACAAGAGGCCTGTAGCCTTTCTATAACTATCAACATTTATCAAAGTTCATAGTTTCTGGCGGCATGTTTAAGAAGTGGTTGCCACTCCTGCTTATTAATATATATAACTATATATAAATCTATATATAAATGTAACTGTTTAAGGTGGAAAAGGGGAGAAAAGGAGTGGATATAAGAAAAAAAAACATACACTCAAATGTTGGGCACTGATTTGAGATGAAGAATTTAGGCATTTTGTTTGTCCTAGAACTTAATAGTTGGTAATATTCTGCAGAGATCCTCTTAAGTCATTAACAGGCTAACAAAAGACAAATCCAGAATAATGTGCTTTGCAGGCAGGACTATCAATGAAGACTATTGTCCCTATCAGTTCTTCAAGTTGGTCCTTACAGTGTCTTGCCTACTCATTTTTTTTCATATTCTTCCCCTCCTCCTCTATCCCTCAGTTGCCCTCCCATTGCCACAGTAGTGGCCTTATGCAGTATCTGTCCTTTTGACTGAGTTATTTCTTATAACTCTGGTTAGAGACTCAAGTTCTCACTGTTGTCCTCCTTGTCTACCCAGCAAGGTAACAGTCAACTCTATATGGTGCCTCTGACGCTCTTGCATGAATCTCCTGGGCAGACAATCACCCTTTCATCACGAATGATTTGTGTGACAGGTAAGGCTTCAGGAAGCTGCCCTTGAGTTGTGCAAGGCATCATTCTAGGGTTGTTATTCAAAGCTGAAGTGGACAATCTGTTTGTCATGCCATCCAGGTCTCGTGACTTGTAATGACACTCATGTGGCTCTCACCATACCAGAGTTCCCTGGGAAGTTAAGAGCTGTCAGCACTGAGGAAAAGAGCTTTGAAGTGAGCCAATTGCATGACAGTGGGACGGCTAGAAATTCAACTCACGGCTTGAGGCTGCATTTCAGAAAAAGTTCCCTCAAAACAAAAGTAAGTTCCAGATCAACCATATTAGCTGAACTCTGAAAAAAATCTCTGTGGGATAGTCTTTAGGTAATCCTCTGGTGGCCTAGTCCACAGCAAGTTGTGCTCCTAAGCTAAAAGTGGCCAGTTCAAGTCCCTTCACAGCTCTCAGGGAGAAAGATGGGTAATATCCTCCAGGGATTGATAGCCTCTGAAAATTTGGAAGGTCAGCTGAGTCTGTTCCAACTTGATGGAAATGAAGTAATCCTAAAATGGCTGATTTAATCAGATTGTAGTTGCCAAGGTAGTAGAAGCAAATTTAGAAGGTCTTATTTGATCACTTTACTCACATGGATGGATATTAAAATAACTGAAATTCACTCTCCAACATCAATCCTCTTGAGTCTCTGCAATAGTAATTGCTGCCAGTTCTGTAGAATGCTAAGAACTTTATTCTTGACCATCTCAGCTGATGGTAACTGTTAGAATACCAGAAGGTGTTCTTACATGGGAATGTGTCTGCCATAGTAACTCTGCTCAGCTTTGGCTTGGGAGGCACTCTTCGTCTTCTCTGGAATTTGATGTGTTACTTGATTTAGGCTTCAGGGTCCAGTACAAAGAGCAGGCTCCCCTGGGTACATCAAGGTGAAAGTTTAAAGCAGTTGATTTCCTGCTTTGGAGGAAGCATCTTGATCTGGAGATGTGACAAGGTGCCTCTTATTATGGCTTCAGGGAAATAGAATGTTAAGAGTGCACCCTGGAGCTAGTCAACATAATTCCTTCCTGCCTCAGACTACACAGGACTCAAATGTACGTGGCAGACTGACATTCCTTTCTCATTTCAGATCTCTGCAAGATGTCTATCCTATCAGTTCTTCTCTTCACTCAAGCTGACCTTTGACTTTCTTCAGGAAACTCCATCCATGGTAATTCATCCCGAGTGTCGCTGTGATTCACCATTTTCTGTAGGTAAAGACACTTCATATTTTCTTTCTTGTCTGTGTTTATTCTTGGGTATATAGGGGAAATGTATTATGTTTGAAGCTAAAACCAATATGAAATATTAAACTTACTGTTACAACAGTAAATAATAGGGTCAGCCAAGCTACGGTCTTTTCAATGACTTCTATGCATCTGGAAGTTGAACAATGCATAAGGATGACTGAAGGAAGACTCAATGCCTTGGAGTTGTGTTGGAGAAGAATAACTGGATAGCCCATGGACTGTCAGAAAAACAAAAGTTTCTTGGAGAAAGTGCAAATACAGTGCTTCTGAGTGGTGACAATGGTGAAACTTGGTCTCACATACTTTGGACATGTTGTTAAAAGGGACCAGACCTTAGAAAAAGATAACTACCAGGAAAGGTGGACAAACAGAAGATCCTTAACAAGATAGGTTGACACGGTGACCATACCACAGACTCAAGTATCAGTGATGAGGATGGTACAGGACAGAAAGGTTCAGATCCATTGTTCAAAGGGTCCTTGTGAGTTGTAGTCACCTCAATGGAACCTAATAACAGTTGTTTGCTGTCGAGTTGCCTGCGACTCATAGCAATCCTATGTACAAGAGCTCTAAACCTTGCTGTATCCTGGGCCAATCTTGTCTAACACACCTACCCTCATTACCCCAGTCACTAAATCAATCCATTTCATTGAGGGTCTTCCTCTCTTGCGCTGTCCCTTCACCCTCCCAAACATGACATCCCACTCCAAGGACCAGTCCCTCCTTGAAACATGTCCAAAGTATGTCAGGTGAAGCTTCAGAATTCTTGCCTCCAAGGAGCAGCTTGATCTTATGCAGGGCGAACCTGTTTGTTCTCCTAGCAGTTGATGGTATATTTCATATTCTCTCCAGCACCACAGCTCAGTCTTCAATACTATGATCCCTAGTCATTATCTAGCTTTCTGATGCATAACAAGTAATTGTGAAGACTATGGCCTGAATCAGGCACACCTTAGTCTCCAGATTGACAAGATTGCTCTTCGGTACTTTGGAGAGGTCTTGGACCGCACTTTCCCAGTGCAATTTGTCTTTTGATTTCCTGGCTGTTGATACCAAGAGTGATTGTGGATCCAAGCAAACTAAAGCTATTAACAATCTCAATCCTTTACTCATGATACTGTCAATCAGCCCAGTGGTGAGAATCTTTGTATTCTTGACGTTGATCTTCAATCCAAATACATAGAAGAATAAACTAAAGTGGTTGCTGTCCAGTTGATTGCAGTGGATGATGATGCTGCACGTGTAGAACAGAACTGTGATCCTTGTAACAGCCAAGGTTGCAACAACAATTAGGAATCAGGCCTCTGAGATGTCTCTCTTGCTGGGTCAGGGCTGATAAAACCTTTCTGTTAGTAGTAAAGTATTTCACTGCCTATGTGGTCCAGAGGGAGCTCTAGGTGGGCCAAGTAGAAAGGAGCTGCCCCGCATTTCCAAAGGCAGGAGGTTTGAATCCACCAGCCGCTCTGTGGGAGGAGGATGGGCATCTCCTCTCAGGCAATTTATTGCCTCTGAAAACCCACTGGAGTGTCAGCTATGGGTCAGTTCCAACTCAACAGCACACAATAACAAGGGTCTTTGTTTCAAAAAGATTTGCCTCCAATCTCGAATTTGGCTTTCTTACAAGTTGAGGTTTTCCCTGAAACTCCTACAGTTTGATCAGAGATCTCTTGTTCAACACGGCCTCTGCACCTGGGTTCTGATCTTGAGGGTTTTTTAATCAAGTAGAATCAAACCAGAAAATACTAGTTTCTGCTTCACTTTCTACCTCCCCAAACCACTGAAGATTTGAGAATCTGGAAAGAAGGGGCCTAATGACAAATGAATACCAAACCTCAATCTGATTTTGTTTTTTTAAAATCTCTGTAGCCCAGTATTCAATCTTCTCACTTTACGCATCTCGACCTCACAGGCCCCTTCCCCTCCTGTCTTTGTCCATCTTTTTTTTTTTCCCCCCCATCAGCCTGTTGCTAGGGCTCCTTAAGATTTCCTCTTCTAAGAAACTCAAGCTGCCTCTCAGGGTGTCTTCCTAGATAAAGACTTAAAACATCCTGGTTTGCTTACTAAAAGCTTATCACGTCCATACTCCAAGGCAAAGAAATGGTGGCATCACCTGGCAGACACGCTTTTCTCTCCACCTTTACCTCTAGTTGCAGATGAGCTGTGTACCCAGGATGGATTCATGGAGTTCGAGGTCTACAGCCACCAAACGAAACCATCTCTTGACTTGGACACCCTCAGGGTGAGAGACTCATCGTGCCAGCTTCTCTTCAAGGCCCAGACCCCAGGGCTGGTACGACTCAGCATACCTCTGAATGGTTGTGGAACAAGACACACGGTAAGTGTTTTCAGGTGGAAGGAGGTGATGACCTATCTTGGAAGTTACAATTGGATTCTTAATCAACTTTCTCAAACCTCTTTAAGTTTAAAGGAAACAAAGTCATCTATGAAAACGAGATACACGCTCTCTGGGCTGATCTTCCGAGCAGAATTTCCAGAGACAGCGAGTTCAGGTAGGAGGCACAATTGCTGCTTGACTCGAGCTGTACTATAAACCTTAGAAGTTCTTTGTACCCCCTTGTCCACCCACCCAGCACCCTGTCACTTACAGGATGACCGTAAGGTGCTACTACAGAGGCAATAACATGCTGATACAGAGCAACATTGGAAGTCTCCCTCCTCCAGTGGTTTCTGTGAAGCCGGGCCCACTTACTCTGAGCCTCCGAACCTACCCAGGTGAGATGTTGTTACTCAGGAACTGTGGTTACTTTCAGGAAACTTTTTCTCTAAACTTTGAGGTTGGAATTGTTGTTTGTTGTTTATGTGCCGTCGAGTCGTTTGCGACTCATAGCGACCCTATGCACAACAGCCCTAAACCCTGCTCTATCCTGCGCCAACCACACTGCCTGACACACCCATCCCGATTATCCCAGTCACCGAATCAATCCATCTCATAGAGGGTCTTCCCCCTCCTGCGCCGTCCCTCCACCCTCCCAAGCATGATGTCCCTCTCCAAGGACCCGTCCCTCCTGGCAACATGTCCAAAGTATGTCAGATGAAGCCCCAGAATCCTTGCCTCCAGGGAGTAGCTTGGTTTAATCCTCTGCAAGATGAATCTGTTTCTGAAGAGTAATGTTATTTGAGCTGCTGTTACAACCATCAGTCGTTTAATTACTGAAGAAGTCTCCATCTCATTACAGATAATTCTTACCAACAACCTTATGGGGATCATGAGTATCCTTTGGTGAGATACCTCCGCCAACCAATCTACATGGAAGTGCAAGTCCTAAACAGAGCTGACCCCAACATCAAGCTGGCCATGGATGACTGTTGGGCCACGACTACCATGGACCCGGCCTCTTTGCCACAGTGGAATATTGTTGTGGATGGGTAGGTCCTCGACGCGCCCCAAGGTTGCCTGCCTAATCCATCAAAACATACCAGTGAAGAGAATAAATAACCCTTATGTGGTGGCTTAGTGGTAAGGACCTGCACTGCCAACCTGAAGGCATGTGGTTCGAATCCCCCAGTTGTCGTGTGGGCAAAGGATGGGCAATCTCTTCCAAAATCATTTATGCCTCTGTAAACCTGCTAAAAAGTGGGTCAATTCGATGGGACACAACATGTACTGTGAAGGAGCTCTAGGTCACAAAGGCTGAGATGTTAGTCTGTTTCTTAGTAGCTGGTTGCTTGGTCCAATGGAGTTACATGCTTTCCTATTGCACTTTGATTGCACTTCAATCTCAAGCAAGGCTTCACTGAGGATTCCTGTATTATCTAAAGAGAATGGATTGCTCACCTTAATCCTTACTGAACATCTCCCACCATATTGCCTGGCACAGTACAGTGTACTTTACAGACACTAGAGCCTCCTGACTCTCAGCACAAACTATTACTTTCTCAAGAACACGGAAACTGTCACTATGTTGGGCTAGCTGGAAGTGGTAGAAATGGAATCTGAATGACACACTGACCCCAAAACCTCATCACAGTAATGAAGTGACTGAATGTACACTTCATAAATATAGGAAGAACAGAGGACAGACATCGACGCACCCAGAGATTTGCCCTTGGATGTGGGTTAAGTTCAGGAAGTTATAATTGGTTGCGAACTGCTAACCTCCAGGTACACTCCCGCCCTGAAACTAGAGGACGTCCTTGTATTACCCCGTTTCATTCCCTCACTTTATTAGACTTCCTAGAATCTCCACTTACCCTAGTCTAACTTCTTAGTATTTTCTAGCTTGCATACTGTTCTATAGGGATCTCTGGTGGCTTAGTGGTAAGGAATTGCATTGCTAATGGGAAAGTGCATGGTTCAAATCCACCAGCTGCTCCAAGGTAGAAAGATGGACAATTCCTTCCTTTGCAATTTCTTGCCTCTGAAAACCTACTAGAGTCTCAGCTGTGGGTCAGTTCCAACTCAACAGTAGTTCTATCATTAACTACCATCTGCTACTACAGAAAATGTCCCTTTTGTCACTGAGGTAAACATATGCCCTAAATTAGTACCTGGAACACAACCAATACATAAGGTTAATAGAAATAAGCCAGAGTCTTTGGAAATGATACACCTATTCCTTGTGGCTCTTGGTGAGTTTAGCTGGTAATGATATTGACTTCATACAATAGAAACATAACTATCATGCATAACTATGGACTTCTAAGAAAACTGACAAGTTTGTCCTGGAGAGGGTGAGACCAGGCTGCTCCTTGGAGGCAAGGATTCTGCAGCTTCATCTGACATACTTTGGGCATGTTGCAAGGAGGGACCAGTCCTTGGAGAGGGACGTAATGCTTGGGAGGGTGTAGGGATGGCACAAGATGGCATGACCCTCGATAAGACTGATTAATTCAGTAACTGGGGTAATGGGGTGTGTCAAAGACAATAAGATCGGCACAGGATAGAGCAGGGCTTAGGGCTGTTGTACACAGGGTCGCTAAGAGTAGCAGGTAACTCAACAGCACATAACCACCATGTAAAACATATTTAGATATTGTTGCATAAGATAAGGCAGAAAAAGATAAAATTTGAAACAAAGTACAAAATAAGATGGCAGTAGAGACAGCCCATGACTATGCTTGAGCAGACACTGAACTTGACCGCAGGAAAATTGCAGCTCACATTCCTCTTGATGTTCACCTCCTAGTTGTGAATACAGCCTGGACAACTACCAAACGACTTTCCATGAGGTTGGCTCCTCTGTGACTCATCCTGATCACTACCAGCGGTTTGAAGTGAAGACCTTTGCCTTTGTCTCTGGGAACCAAGCACTCTCGAGCCTGGTGGGTGATTAGCCAGTTACCGAGATGGGCTGACTGTGAATATGTGCTGATTCCACTCAATGCTTTTCCATCTGCAGGTCTACTTCCACTGCAGCGCCTTAATCTGCAACAAACGTTCTCCCGATTCCCCTCTGTGCTCTGTGACTTGCCCCGGATCATCAAGGAGCAGGCGAAGTAAATGTCAATTCCTTATCTAGTGCTGCTAGATCACAGAACAGCACAAGGAGACGGGTGGCTTTACTAAACACATCCTTTGACACTTTAGGAGGCTGGAAGTCTAAAGTGGCTGTAAAGTAAGGTTTCTCTTTTTTGATTCTGGAGGCAGTCTGGGCACTCAGGGCTTCCTGGAGCTCTCCATGTGGCTGGACCCTCTGTGCTGGAGGTTCCCAGTGCAGGGTCAGCTCTGCTCCTAGCTCTTGGTGGAAATGACATCCTCTCCGTACTATTTAGCTTCTGCTTAAGCCTTATAAAAGCTGTTGCTGGTCACCCTCCAAGCAAAGTCCTTACATCACATCAGGGCTGTAATGGGATTCAGGGTACTGGGTTTCACCCTTCATCCTTGAATGTTGCAGACTGAGGGTAAAGTATTTTCATAATTGAGACAGACAACCAGAAATGAGATAAAACAGACAGGAGGCCAGCAGTTTCATCGACCCAAGGGCCCCAATTCCAGCTTCCCTGTATCTTGATAGAAAATTAGCAGGAAGTAAATCACAAAGAGAATTCAATGCAAATGAAGCCAAGCTCTTTCTATTGAACATCTTCCCTAGACTCAAGAGGGAGAGGTTAGCAAATGCAATGTAAGAATCGGGCAAACAGTTGAGGATTGTCTTACAGCCTCAGGGTGAATTCCAGCTTGAACCCTGCAGTGCCTCTCCCACATCCTGAAATAGCATTAGGTTTATTACAAATATTTAGTATTGGCTTCCTATACTTTCACCTGATCTATCAGATCTTGGGGGGGGGGATCCCTAAATAATCACTACCTTTCATCTGAAACAGAACCATAGCTTGGTCAAATAACATATTTGGGGTGCACAACTCAATCTATGGCACAAACATCAAAGCAAATCTTAGTCTCTAAAAACTGAAGCCTTTAATGATATTTTTCACTTAAGTGTCCCTGGGTGGCATCTGGTAGAACCCTTGACTAACCTAAAGGTTGACTTAAGCCCAGCCAGAGGCACTGAGGAGGAAAGGCCGTGGAGATCCACTTTTGAACAGTTTGCTGAGAACTCCACGAGGCTCTATGAGGTTGCTGTGAATCAGAATCAACTAGGTGGCAACTTTTAAAAGTTGACCTTGGTCTCCAAAGCTGAAGCTCTCCCTTGGGAATTAATGGTATACCATGAGTAGGTTGTTCAGTTGGATGGGCAAGTTCTTATGTCTGCCCTTTTATGGGGTTCCCCTCCCCTCCATATTTGGCTCTACAGTTGTTCTGAGATGTCTCCGGTTGGTTAGGCTACTGCCTCCAACGCCTCGGTTGGTTGTCAAGGCCTTGACTCAGTGGTTACACAGGAACACATAAGTGACACTGTCAATTTTAGAAGTCTCAGACCTTCACGTGGTATAATTCTTCCTGAGAATCCAGCTCATTTGGCTGCTCCTGCAAAGAAAAGCAAAGCTAAATGGAGAAGCCAGGAGCGTTAGCTCTTAGTGCATGAAAGCATCTGTGGAATACTAACTCAGTGTTGTCTCCAGCTGCAGGGACCACTGAAGAAGAAATAGTAAGTCTTCCAGGACCCATCCTCGTGTTGCCAGACAGTCACTCGCTGAGAGGTATGGGCTTAAAGCCTGACAATTTAATGCCAGGAGTTTAACATTTATGAATAAAGAACACAAGTTATATACTGTCAACTTGGATCTGGCTCATAGCTGACCCTCCAGCAGGTTTTCAGAGGTAGTAAACCACACAAGAGACTGCCCATCTTTCTCCCAAAGAGATTCTGGTAGATTTGAACTGTGTGGACGTGTGTGTGTGTGTGTGTGTGTGTGTGTGTGTGTGTGTGTTGCAGTGGAATTCCTTCCCACTAGAGAACTATTTACCATCAACTTGGAATTGATTCAAAGCTGACCTTCCAGGGGCTTTTCAGACAATAAATCATACAGAAAGGAATTGTCCATCCTACTCCTGCAGAGCAGCTTGTAGATTCAAAACATGTACCTTTGGAACTGCAGCACAGCTAGGCCACCAGAGTTCCCTAAATAACACATGCATATGGTGAATCTAAACAGAGGAAAGAAAATAGTCTCTTTGCAGATTCTAAGTCTTCCAGGCTAAAGAACTTCTGGAAAGACATACACATGTGATTGTTCTGCCCACAAAATGACCCTCAAAGAAATCTAAAAACACGTATGAAATTTCAAGAGTGTTTATTATATTTCCACGCATGGAGACTTTTCTCCTTCCTCGGGAAGGTGGTGAAGGAGGAAAGCCCTGAGTTTCCCCTCCCACTTGCTTTTATAGCTCTTTTGAGTGCCCCTGTTAGGGCAGGGGATTGCGATTATGGTTGGTGGGTTGACTTTTGATGGGCTGACTACTTTGCCCACCTTTACTTTAGTGTCACATAGACACTAGTTATTTACTTTTCAAGGACAGACCAGGCTTTACCCGAGGCACTTGTGTTTGCCCTAAGCTAAGAATTTTTATGGCTTGCTTCTGCCTCTAGCGTTAATGGGGGTTTATAAAAAAGTGGGATTTTTGTTGTCCCTTCATGATCATCTATTCTTCTGTAATAGACCTTATTTATCTTGGCATGAAAATATCTACCTGCTAAGTTGTATAGGATGGTGGTGGTGGTTGTTGATTGCTGTAGAATCAAACATGACTCATAGTGACCTGATGAACAAAAGACCTGAAGACTTTTTATAACATCATTTTGCAAAGTTCATAGTTTCCAGATGCATGTTGTTGAAGTAGATGTTACTCCCGCATGAGAAATTCAGGATATATTCCTAAAAGTAAGACATAGAGGTGAGAGATAACAGGGATTATATTTCTGTTATTGGCAAATTTCATCTCAAGTCTACTGGATTACATTTTCTTAACAGTCTTATATTTCACACAAGATCATATTCGAAGCTTAAAACAAAGCTGTCTTAAGTGATCTGAGATCTCGTATCCAGGGGGCAAAAGCCTATTTGTTAGGCTAGTAAACAATGCCCTGGCATCCCAAGGTCCTTTCCAGGTATAACTCGGCTAGTTCTAGATTGATCCAAAGCCAGCATCAAGTGAGAACGGCAGGAGTGGAGGAGGAAGGAAGACTGGAGGCATAAAACCCTATTCAAAGCTTTGAGTTCTTTGAAGCGGCATTTCAGTCCCCTCTCTGAAAAGCTGTAATATGTAAAGCTGTAATATGTAAGGTGTTAACATTAAGTGATAACATAAACGTGACTGTGACTCCAATATCTTGTTTCCTTTCTAGATCTTGAGGCGGCTAAAGGACACGAGACCACTGGAGACATCACTTTGAAAACTGCGGTTGGCCTGACTGCCTTAGCAGGTGTTGTGACAATTGTAGGTCTTGTTAATTATGTATGCAAGAAAAGAACAAGACACTGTTAATTTTTCAAATAAAATGAAGGAAGCCTTTTGTTTTTTGCATTAAGATTATGTGGCTTTTGGTTTCGCCCCTCAGTTCATTTTGGGTAAATACATTAACTATAATACTCTAGGCAGCATTGGTCTGTGTTTGCACAAATAAAATATCTTCAGATTTACTACTTCCTGTCATTCAGCCTTCTCTGACCTCCTGCCTGTATGTGACTGCTAACCTAAAAATTGGCAGTTCAAATCCACGCACGAAAGAGCATCTGCTTCATAGACTTCAGCCAAGGAATTCTATAGGGCGGTAACTGTTGAGCTTCAACCTCCTTTATGATTTTTAGCCTAACTCAAAAATCCTATGTCAGGATATTTTCCAAAACCAGAACTCAGAAAATCCTATGTCAGGACATTCCTTCCCCAAAACCAGTTTCCCAAGACCAGAGAGAGCCTTTATGCACCAATGAGCCACTGCAACGACCCTGCATAAACCCCCTGGGCCCAACCTCAGTGCTTCTCCCCTTGCTCAGTAGCCCAGGGCTCAATAAACTCTGAGAAATGTTTCTACCTCTGTGAAACCTTTCAGTAACATGAAGTCATCGTGAGTTAGGATCAACTTGACAGCATAGTTGTGTTCCAGTCCTTACCTGACGCTTCCTGTGCTGCCAGTCAACAGGAGGTTTAGCCACCGCCTGCTTCTGGACATGCATTTACATGGGGGGGGGGGTGGTGTGTGACTTGAATTGACTAGCAGCCCAATGGGAGGAAAATGGACAATCTCCTCCTTCACTGTTGACAGCCTGGAAAACCCAATGGAGGGTCAGCTATGAGCCCTTGTAGGGAACCACAGAATGTAGAGGACTGCATCCTTAGAATATGGCTGTGTGCCTTGCACACAGAAGGTGTCTTCAGAAAGAATATTGCAAGCAGAGCTCACAAGGCGCTCTGAGAAGGAAGACTGCAAGCGGTTCTCATACATCTTTAGACACTGACTTTCATTATTCCTACTCTTGATAAGGTTGTTGCAAGATGAGAGAAAGCACAGTTTATGAATACAAAGAAGTCTTGGTTGAATGTATCTAACTATGTACCCAGCCCATCCAAGCCCTATATTAATCTTGGGCTCTCTGATGTAACCCTTAGTTTCTAATTTTCTGTGAACCATCTCTTTGTTTCCAAAAAGTATAAAGATAGCACAGCTTCCCGAGGGCTGGTCCAATTCCATTCTGTCTGGCCGGTCCAGTCCTGTCCTGTGCTGTTCTGTCTCTGTAAGTTGTCTTTTGTGGCTTTATTTACTCATTTCTTCCAGGCATAATTTCCCCCTGAGAAACAGAGTAAGTGCCAGCAGCCCTGGTGACAATGGTTCAGTGCCTGTCTGGTAACCGATAGGTCAGTGGTTACAACCCACCAATTTCTCCCTGGGTGGAAGATATAGCAACTTGCTTCCAGAAAAATAAGAGCCCTGGAAATCCTATGAGTCAGGGCTAGTCTGTCCCATAGGATTGCTGAGAATCGGAATCGAATCAATGGATATTTATTGTCTTTGGTAGACTAAAATCATGGTCTTACAACACTATCTGGCTTCTAATTTGAGACTATTACTTTTCGTCTCCTATTGCTGTAAAGGGGGTTCTGGTAGCCTAGGGGGTAAGGAGTTGTGTTGCCAACCCAAAGGGAAGTTGTGCAAATCCACCAGCGACAATTTTTGGGAGGAAGTTGGGCAATCTTCCACTTTGAGAAGCTGTGATTTACATCCCCTGAAAACCTGCTGGGCGGTCAGCTGTGAATCAGTTCTGACTTGATGATACACAACATTACTGTCAACTTCATTCTGATTCATGGTTGACCTGATATGACAGTATAAATGAGATATGCAAGGATGTAAGTATTTACCAAAGCAAAATGCCACATTCCTCCTAAGTGCTCTTGCTATTTTTTGCACCTGAGAACAGAACGATTGAAAATGTTAAGAATCTTGAAATAGCAGTTCAGGTGGTGTCCACAGCAAATTGCACTGTTAACCCATAGAATCGTGAAACAGTAAAATGTATCTTGGGTTAAGGATTCTTGAGAAGATAATGGTAAAACTCTTGACTGTGGATCTAAAAATCGGTCCAAACCCACTAGTTACTCCATGGGAGGAAAACCTGCTTCTGTAAACTGCAGCCCTGGAAAGTGTCTGGGGCAACTGAGTGTCCTACAGGGTCAGTGAACCCAAATGACATGATTATCTTCCAAGTCCTCATAAGAAGATGGGGGGAATCAGGCGATGTAGCCACAAGCTAAGGAATGCAGGCTGCTTCTGTAAGCAGGAGAAGACAGGGAACAGATTCTCCCCTGAACCTCCAGAAGAAATGAATACAACTCTGCCCATCCATTTTGAACTTCTGGTCTCCAGAATTGCAAAATATTTCATTTACTAATATTTTAGGCTGCAGAAGCCTTTGCTTCCCACACTTAACAGTGGTGTGGTTTGGATTTTTTTTAACCAGGACACCAAGACACAGCCCAGACTGCTCATGGTTTCCTCTCATTTACTCTTTATCCACTAGATGCTCTGCTGGAGATGGAGGGCCAATCTCCTCCTGTGCCAGTCAGATCTGGTATGACAGCACATAAGTAAATGGAAAAAAAAATTTTACTCTCAGGTGGCCTAGTGGGCAGAAAATGATGCTACGAAGCCAAAGGTGGGTGACTCAAATCCACAGCCCTCAGACCTGTCTTGAATTGTTGTTGGTGAAACATTCTTCCAGGTCATATGGCCCTGGTCTGTTCACTTGCTGTACAGAGGTAACTTGGTCTCTGTGAAGCTGAACACTGTGACACTGATGAGTCAAATGCGATAATGGTTACCCCTGGTGGACAGTATTTGGTGGAGCTCCCTGATTAAAACAAGATTGGAAGCAGGAGTGGCATCTACTTTCGAAATAGCTAGCCTCTAGAAACCCTATGAACCTGGAAAAAGGACTAAAGTTATACAAGTGTCCAGGTCTTTCCTTCATAGGGTCGACATGAGTTGCCTACAACTCAACAGCACTTAAGATGCAGCACTCGGGAGCAATGATTTAAAAAATAACTACATAACTTGGGAGGGACTGAAGAGCTTATACTGAGTAAACTAATTCAGTCTCATATGGACAAATACTGCATAAACCATTATTGTAGAAATATAAAACCAGTAAAATGAGTATGAAGATCTAAAAGAGGGGAGTCACATAATTTGGTCGGTGGAGGGAAGGGTGATTAAAGGAAATGGGAAAGATCCTGCGGGGATCTGGAAAGACAGGATAATGGAGGACATAGTTCAATGGTGATTAATTTTATAAAACAATGACTAGAAATAATTGTGTGAAACAATGTGAATGAAGGATAGTGTAGAACACAATGTATATGAACATTGTAAGCAAACCAATATAAAATGGTAAAAACCCTAAATTATGCTTCATAAGCCTAATTGGTAAGAAGCTGCACTGCAATCTCTAAGGCACGTGGTTTGAAGCCACCAGCTGCTCTATGGGAGAAGGATGGGCAGTCTCCGTCTGTGCCATTTACTATCTCTGGAAACTCACCGGAAAGTCAGCTATGGGTCATTTCTTACTTGATAGTACACAAAAACAATCGTGGAAACAGCTCAAATGTGAATGTACTGAGTGCATTTCAAGAAGGATTGATAGACATGGAGATGGATACACAAGTAGAATAAAATGCAAATTGAAGACTCTAGAGGGCGCTCTTGTGGCCTGGTAGATAGGGCGTTGCTGCCAGTGCAAAGGAGCAGTTGGTGGATCTCCCTGTGATGAAGTACTAAGTTGATCTCAAATTTTATTCCTTTCTTAATGGAAGGCAGGAGCTTAAACAGCAAAGTACACCAATCAAAACCAACCCAGTGACCAAGTGTCAACTCCCAAGTCCCGGTGATCCGATGCAGAACTTTTTCTACAGCTGATTTAATCAGGTTGCAAGGCCTGTCTTCCAAGGTACTTCTGGGAAGACGCAAACTCTCAGCCTTAAGGTTTAGTATGCAAGATGTACCATCCAGGCTCCACATAAAGAATATTCACTTCAAATTCATTGCCATCGAGTCAGAACCGACTCAGAGTTGACCCTCCAGTGGGATTTTTCAAGGCTATAGATCACACCGGAGAAGAATATCCAACTCCCTTAGAGCAGCTGGTGGATTTGAACCACCCTGCTGTGGGTTGATAGTGCAACTCTCTATCCACTAGGCCACCAGGGCTCCGTACATAAAGAACAGTATATGCAAAACACTACCTTGTTTGCTGTTTCTAATTCCAGGCTGATTAATTCAACTAGCAAACTGATTCACTAAGGGAAGAAGAAAAAAAACCCAACAACTTTAACTCCCCGTTTCTCCTCCCACACCTCAGATATTCTGTGCTCTTGTCTACTTAACTTGTTATTTGTTAAAGCAACTATCGAAATCTAAAATTGCCACACTCTGGAAAGCATCTCACTAGAAATGCTCATTCTACAGGACAACTAGGAACTTCAACAAGCTTGTTCCAGATGTCACAAGGACCCCTGTGGTGGCATGAGGACCTCTACCCCATGAATTAAGAGGCTGGTCAGGAGTTAGGAACAAGGTGAGTTGCATCTCCACGATGCCACCCTGCTGTATTTGCTTCCAAGCACCCGGGGATGGGAGCCAGATCTGCTGAGCAGCAGCTGTAGAGACGAACACTTGTTGCCATGGTAGCCTGCAACAAGTATAGGGAGCCTTGACTGAAGTTGGGTTCTCAGGCTCTGAAGCACATCCCTCCTGTGTATGGGGGAGGCAGCCTAATTAGCTGAGAGGAACTGTGAGGGAAGAACGCCAAATCCCAAGTTGTTCCTTAGCCAAACTAGTCTGTCTGTGCAGGCTAATCAGTGGGGACAGTTCTCGCTGGTCTGGGAGGAAGAGGGCTTTGGGATTCTGACTCCTTTGGGCAGTTCTGATGGTGGGGTTGGAGGGACCGGAAGTGGATTTGTGGGCTTCTAATGTCCTTTTCTTGGCTCCACAG